AGCGTCTGACATGCAACTCAGTGAGCGTATTATCTTCCAGCAAGAACACCGCTCTATTTCACTGGATGAACTCCAAAAAAGATTCCCTCAAAAAACCATAGTTAGGGATGAAAATGGAGTGATTCGACATGAATCACGCTTACAAAATGCACTAATGGACTTTGACACAAAATCTCCCATATATGTTAACCCCAAATCTGACTTAGCTAGGTTGATAATCCGTGATATACACTGCAAGAACGCTCACTGCGGCAAAGATCAAACGCTGTGCTTAGCAAGGCAGCGATTTTGGATACCTCGACCATCCAGCGCTCACAACAAATACATCAGGAACTGTACCACCTGCAAACGATATCAAGGACTCCCATTCGGAGCCCCAGCAATGCCTCCTCTTCCTGGAGATAGAGTCAAACGTTCACGTCCATTCGAGAACGTGGGCTGCGATTTCTTTGGTCCAATCTTCGACAGGAACGACGGGCGCATGTATGTTTGCCTTTACACGTGCCTCACAACTCGGGCAGTTCACTTGGAAGTTGTCGAAAACATGTCTACCGGAGCGTTTCTTGATTGCCTCGTGAGGTTTGTCTCACGTAGAGGAGTACCCAAGCTAATACGCACGGACTGCGGCACCAACTTTAGACTGGGCCAACAAATACTCGAATCCATGTTCCAAAATGATGAGAGCACAGGCTCTTCAGTCATGACATTTAGCGCAAGCACTGGCATCCGCTGGATTTTCAATCCCCCAGCTGCTCCATGGATGGGTGGAGCCTGGGAGAGATTGGTGGGTACAGTAAAAAGAGCCCTCCAAAAAGCATTCGGGAGAAAAAAGTTTACATTTACGCAACTTTGTACAGCAGTCACCCGCATAGAAGCCGTAATCAATACAAGACCGTTGGCAAAATTACCTTCAACGGACATCTCGGATATACCACTCCGGCCCGTCGACTTTCTACAGGGAAACCTGGCGTACAGCATACCGAATGTCGGCTTGTCCACGGAACGCGACAACTCGTATGATCCTGACCTAATTCAAACTGCGCTACAAGCAAGAGAAGCTTTGGAATATTCAGAAACCATAGCCAACAAATTCTGGGAAAGGTGGAATACCGAGTACCTGACAATGCTTCGCGAAATTCAGCAATCCGAACTTCGTCAATCCAGACATACCGCCCTAAGAGACCCCATCGTCGGTGAGATAGTCTTAATACAACAAGATTTCATACCACGAGGCAATTGGTCTTACGGCAAAATCGTTGAACTTCTGCGAAGCCAGGACGGTCAGGTTCGATCTGTCAAGTTACAGCTACCGAATAGGCACATTCTACATCGTCCACTAACGAAAATCTATCCGTTAGAGCTTAGAAGCACACCAATCAACGACAATCCCATCGAAGAAATACAAGATAATGCTCCAGAAACAGCGACGAGACCTCTGCGGCAAGCTAGAGTAAGAGCTCTACAAGCAATTCAAGAGTTTGAAGAAAGTTTAGAGGAGCCTAACACACCACGCGCTTCCCAATACATCAGTTTAGGGACATATCCACTCTTACTCACACTTTTCCTAACCATCATAAGCGCGGCAAATGCAACGCAAAGCGCACTGCATTGCCTTAATGGTACAGTGAATATAACCTCACCGAAAGAGCAGTTCGAGCTTTGCATAGCCGAAAGGTGCAAAACTTATGCAAAAAATAGCTCTGACCTATCACTTCGTTTACCGCACACGTCACAAGCAAATAATATTAGCATATCCATGAAATTCAAATCATCTACGAACATGGTTCACATAGCTAGAACATGCAAAATGCCTTCCATATGTGAGCATCCGCATTTAATTCTATCAAAAAAGCTTCTTGCTAACCCACACTGTTGGCCTATAGGTGCAATCATCTCAATAGCAGCACTAATCTACCTCGTGCTTACAATTCCACTCATCCTATACCTTTGTTGCGCAAAACGCAAAAAGGAACAAGTTCGTTACAAGCCAAACAACAGATTTTCACTTAGAACTTTCGCACCAGCACCCATACATAACACAAACATCATTGCCCTGAGCTTACTCGCCCTCACCACGCTGGCTAACGCCTGCCAACACGGGCATATGAGGCACAACGTAGATCTTGAGTGCGACAGGGACAACCAGTGCTCCTATGAACTCAGTAGAGAGGTGCTCTTCAACAAGATTCAAGTGAATCTATGCGTTCAGATACGCCACGCAAACAAAACTATAGGAACACTACATATCAAAAATAACCCAATAGCAATGGAATGCTCGAAGCGCACACTGTTTTTCACCAGAGATAGCAAACCACGTGTTTATAGCGCGGTCAGATGTCATCAGGCAGGGTCTTGCACAGAACAAATATGCGCGAACCTCAAAGCTAATGGAACGGTACAGGAGCTTGAGCGTCAACACGCCGAAGAATATCCAGGGTACTCAGGATGTGAAAGAGCCTGTGGTGGATTAGCTTGTGGATGTTTTTTCCCGATACCGGCCTGCTCGTTTTACAGAGTCGCACACATACCACGCAACGAGGACGTATACGAAGTCCTAGATTGCTTAGAATGGAAACCCAGCGTCAACCTTTCTTTGCAACTTACGCTTTTCAATAGGGTAGCATCCAAACAGATGATATTGCTACCCTATGTAACACAAAAGTTCGAAGAAATCGAGTTCACAGCCATATCAGTGCACAAACCGGCACTCCCCGTACTTCACAGGCGCTTCGCTATCTCTAACAATACCGCACTAGCAATTCCAGAAGGCTATAAACTACCGGTCGAATGTTCATCCGCAGCTAATGCATTGTCAGACTTCAGATCCTGTGCAAATCGCATGATATGTGCATGCAGAGGAACAAACCCACCAACCCGATGCGATTGCCCAAATGAAAACATACAGGATATCAAAGCAGATGCAACAAACAAGCTGCCTACAATAACACCATTCTCACAAACATTCGTCTACGATAACAGCATCGTGACACGTACACAGGAGGCTGAGGTCACAATAAAAATCGAGTCGAAACTGCTCTTAGACTCGGGGCATTACACGTTAGATCAGGAATGCCAAGTCTCAGTCACTAATGTGACAGGATGCTACGACTGCCAAGAAGGCGCAACCATATCCATATCATGTCTAACCGAAATCGACGCTTGGCTGACCATAAGATGCGGTGCGCACACTTTTCCCGTCGAATGCGGTGCAAAAACTACGCAGTCAAAAGTTGTATTGGATTATGATCGCGCTATCGTAGAGGAGAGATGCACAGCAACATGTAAGGGAAAACAAATCGAATTTGATCTAGCCGGACACCTGGAATACATGCCCAAACACCTAGAAGCGCCGTCGTTTGAGACTGATGGGGACTTCACATGGCATCAGAAACTGGACTGGTTCAGCGATATCAAAATACCAGACCTTAAGCCACTTATGAAATTGGTAGCGCAACACTGGAAACTAACTCTGGCAGCGGTGAGCTCAGCACTCATAATCACCCTCTTAACGTACTGCCTGGGACCGATAGTACTGGTTACTATTGTAAAACTAGTCGTACTCGCAGTGCAAAGCGTGCTACGAATCTTTGGCACTTTGCTTGCACTCATCTTCAACATATGTAGAAAACAATGAAAAATGCGAAAGGAAAAAAAATGATGAAAATGCAAATGAAAATGCATACACTTGTAAATAAGTAATGTAGAAAACATAAACAGTAGATAATATGCCATTAACAAATGAATCCTCACCTTACGGCACTTACCTTATCATCGTATGATATCTGCCTCTGTATCTAATCATTCTCCCTCCGGCAATATCGCCTGCAACTCTTTGTAGGTAGTTGCTATCTTATCTTCGATAAGATAGCTATTGCAACGAATCCTTTAAAAGGCTCCCGTCCCAACAAGAAACACATCCATACCAACTAAACAACACTATGCTGGACGAAGTCGACGTGGTGACGCACATCGAGCCGCTCGCAAACGCTGTCAGGACCATGGAGCAGAAGATGGACTTCCTGCTACAGTCATTCGAGCAACGCCTGGAAGCCACGGTCCAGAGACTGGAGATCCGTCTAAGATCATACGATCAGGCGCTCGACACGCTTCTGGACCGGTCAAAACCGCGCTCCAACTGCGCATTCTGCCCCTACGAGGACAACCGCGACGCTCACCCCACGGGAAGATGCCCAAGATACCCCGACGCAGTGGCAAGAGCGGTGCAGGCCAACGTTTTGGGCCTTTGCAACAAGTGCCTACAACCACGTCATGGCCAGGACTGTGGAGTGAAGTGCTCCATTTGCACCGCGGACCACAACATGCTCCTGTGCCCGTCGCGTGGCACATCCAACGCGTTCAAGCGCAGAAAGGTACCATTTCAATAGCTTTTTACACATTTTTTCTTTTCCTTTTCCTTTTTTTCTTTACTCTACATATTTAGAATTGAAGTTTTGACTCCTGCCCCTCCCCTCACCACCGTCGTCGCCATCGCTGCTCCGCTATCGCAATCAACTCCACCACACACCATCGTCGTCGTCATCGCTGCCCCTCTCCGCTCCCAACTCCTCCGCTCGTCGTCGTCTTCCCTCCGCAACGCGTCGTCCAGCCGCCCACGTCAAGTGATCATTTCTCTCATCGTTTTCTTTTTTGTTGTTAATTTTCATTCCTATACTTTATTGTTGTTTTCGTTGTTGTCAGTTTCTCGCCCCGGGCCGCAGTGTCGCATTTTGCGGCGCAAATGCGACCCGGGATATCAATTCATGTTTGCGTAGCGTCCGTTTTGGACGCTACGCCCTCTTGTGCTATGCTGATAAGAATAAAATAGTCTACCACTAACCACCTTCGTGCACACACGACACTAGCTTTCCACATTTTTGTCAGATAAGAATGAAGTAACTGGCAAGCAGACTCACTACAAAAGTTCTGTCTTTGTTTCCTATTAGTTACTGAAGACTCTGCGCTACGTTATAGAGATCTGAGGATAAAGAAACTGATTTTAGGTCTGATGGTAGCATTATGTTCGTATTTTTCTTGCTTTATGCATTCAACGCACTTTATTTTGCTTTTGCGATCTCAACTTTCATGCAATCAGGTAAGATGACTTTCCTTTGAGACGAGCCCCCAAAGCGATTCCTTTCCAGGGACCGCGGCTACATTGATGGCCGTTGTTGGTTGGATGTTACTCTATTTTTGGTATGCAATGTTCAGTAGCTTTGATATGGCTGCACCGTACCCGCTCGGCGTCCGATTGGTCAATTGTCTCAATCCTGACATCGCTATGGCATACGGTATACAGTTCTTGTCGCAATACGAAACTCAAGGTGGGCGGAGCTCAGTCAATCGATTGACAATATTAATTTGCATAATTTTCAAATCTTGTTTTCATTTTTCTGACTTTGGTTGATAATATAGAGGTCCTACTAAATGTAAAGCCTTCCAGCTGATGGTCTTCATTGGGGTCAACTCTTCACCCCGCCCACCCCGGATCAGCGGCTCACTATTGGCCATTGCTTTGTGATGTTATTGGTAGACGGGTTACTGCTGATGTTGATTACCTGGTACGTGGAGGCAGTCTACCCTGGTGGTGAAGGTGTACCGCAGAAGCCATGGTTCTTCCTGCAGGTAATTTCTATGGGGAAGTATGGAAAATAAAAATGATTTATAGAGGCGACCTATATTTTGATGCGCAAGAAACGCGAGGAAATTTTGCAAAAAAATATGTTTTCTGATCGCGCGATACAAAATCTACAGATTTGCTCGATTTCATGAAAACTTTGGAAAATCTTTTATCTCCATTATCACATTGACGGCGAAACTTAAAGTCTTTCTTCTAGTAAGGAAGCGTTTTGCATAATGTATGACTGCATATGTGGAAGCACGAAGCAGATGGGACTATCTCATCTCTCTGGCAAGCTCCGCCCACTCAATCAGTCGCTCAGTCGTGAATTTAGAGTTGCATGTGAAACTCGTATAACATTTTGCACTTTTGTTTATATGGATGGAGCCTGCCACTGAGGGCAGTGGGGGGGGGGGGGGAGGTAGTGCCTTCCGACAGAGGTCGGTACTAGCGAAGAAATGTAAAATACCAGGCGCTCTCTGCCGCTACGCGGCAGATTCGGCTGGTACTCGGCAGCTTCGCTGCTTCGTAAATCTGCTCTACAATGCGGAGATGTTAAAATTTGCCGTTCTGCAAGAATTACTTTGATTTATAACCTGCGCAGAAGGAAAAATTGAGAACATGGTCCCGTCTTTATCAGTTTTGAATCAACATTCCAAGCAGCGGATACCACGCAAACTGCAAAAAACAATAGATTGATAGTAGCAACCTGTGGGTAGGAATAAAATGGCTTGTAACTTTAATCCTTCTATCCTTTTGGTGCGCACATAAAGAATTTTCCAAGGAAAAACAGCAAAATATCAATAAATCGATAGAAGCAATGGGTAGTCTCGAACAAAATGGCTTATTAAAGGCATTGTCCACCCAAGATTTCGAATTCAATGTTTTTGTCGCCTTCAGGCCTTCTGAAAGCCCTGATTCCGAATATGGAGTCGAAATCCGCGAAACCCCCAAAAATCCCTGTTTCGAGAACCCTCTGCAACAAGCGCAGGCGAGATAAAGCACGCAAGTGGGCGGGGCGATCATGGTCGTCCTACTTTGCTAACCTTTGATTCAACTGGCTTGGCTCCTTTAGGGCGGGTTTTGTGATCTAATTGAGGCCGCTCGCGCCCGCGACGCACCTGCGTCTCTCTCGGGCGAGTGCTCTCTGATCATTACCTAGCCTTAATTAGGTCACGAAGCCCCGCCTTTGCCGAAGCTAAGCCAGTCGAATCAAATGGTATTTTCGGAGTGGAATTCTCGTTCCAGAAGCAGTCTTTTGCGGCGAAGCTTGGGGGTTTGCCTAGTGTGGGGGCCCACACCTGGTATGCCATCATAATCTCGCCAACCTCCATTTTGGGTGGACGGTGCCTTCAACACATGCCCCCCATGCATTACGTGTGCCAAATTTGGCTCAGATTCCATTACTCCTTCTATCCTACTTGAGTTAAAGAACTTTCCAAGCAAAAACAGCAACAAATCAATAAATGGATAGGAGCAGTGGGTGGGTTCCGAACAAAATGGCTTATTAACACATGCACCACTCCAAGGATATATGTGCCAAATTTGGCTTACATTCTATCCTTTTTCTTCTCCGCTTCTATCCTTTTTGGGCGAAGATACCAAAAGTGGTTAACAAGCTTGTAAGCCAAATCTTATATAAGTACTGATGTATTAAATGTAATTCTAGAAATCCTACTGGTTCCCATCTAGTCAAGCAAGAAGAAGCGAGGATTCGCAAAAGTCAATGGCGAATGGAAATGAACGAAGTTTTGCGAAAATCGAGCCGGAACCCAACTTACGAGTATAATTTGAATTTTTGGCAATGTAGACAAGACATGTAAATCTATAATTATTTCAGGCAACTATAAACGTCGTAAACCTTTCGAAAACTTATGGAACATCATTTTTCAAGAAGTTATTTGACTGTCAGTTTGGCAAATTGGGAGAGAAGAAAGCCGTTGACCATTTGAATTTGAAAATGTATCATGGCCAAATAACCGCTTTACTGGGACATAATGGAGCTGGAAAAAGCACCACATTCAGCATGCTGACAGGTAACATTCCAATTTTTTTCTGTTTTATAAAATTTTTCTGAGTCACAAAAATAAGTTGTAGTTTCTTGCTTTTTCAAAAAATTTTCCTTGCAGGTGTGACCTCACCATCATCAGGCACCGCTTACATCGATGACTATGACATTCGAACGAGTTTACCCCAAGTGCGCAAACAAACTGGACTTTGTCCTCAATACAACATATTATTCAGCTCTTTGACAGTCATGGAACACTTAGAATTCTTCTGCAAGTTGAAGGTAAGCAAAAATCTCTGGACTTTTGCCAAGTCAATCGAAATTTACTAAGGTTGATCCAAGTGCCTTTTAGGGCCGATACTACCACGAAAAAGAAGCTGTAGATATCTTGACCAGGCTCAAAATCGATTTCAAAATGCATGCAAGAGCAGGGACACTCTCCGGAGGGCAAAAGAGGAAACTTTCCCTAGCCATAGCTTTGATAGGTGGTTCTGAGGTAGAACTTTCTCTCTCTCTATTCTCCCGAATGTTTTTCGAATCAAAATCTATCGTAAAAACATAGATAGTAATGCTGGACGAACCCACTTCGGGTATGGACCCGGGTGCTCGTCACGAAACCTGGACACTCTTGCAAGCCGAGAAGAGCCGTAGAACTATTCTTTTGACAACACATTTCATGGAAGAAGCTGATTTGCTAGGAGACAGGTGGGCTGTTTCGATCATGCTCAATGAATCATCAAATTCAGGTCTCATAGAAAAATGATTGTCTTATTATGGGATGTAAGTTGGAAAGCCTGAATAGCTTTCCCTGCATTCTACTAAAATACTTTTTCGCCCATGAAATATTTTCTGTAATGTCTGTGAGCTCTGAGCGAGAGAAGGTCTTTGCACTACAGTATCCAGCCGCACCTAGCTGATAGACTTAACGCGTCGCGCACATGGAAGATATTCGCTCCCCCTTCATTTGCTTAGCCAAAGGACATGGCGGGGTATTGCGGGGTATTCCGCGTTACTGCGGTCCTACATTGAAATACCATGGAAGCATTACGGTCGAGTGAATATGCCCGCATTATTTTCTAGCTAGTAACTCTTCGTGCATAAGGTGGTTATTGCAGCTCGGTGGGCTCTCGCCCCTTCGCCTAGTGCTCGACTGCCATGCACCTCAGCTTTCTCCCCGAAAGGACTTTCGCGATTGCGAAAGAGCTCATGCCCGCAATGGCGCTTACGCCAACTCCTTCACAAACAAAATTAATAATACAGACATCTAGTAAATACTATGTACTAATGAAAACAATACGACGAGTTAAGCTCGCTCCGGGCTACCAAGGGATTTTGACTCACTCACAATCTCTTCCTTCCACTCCCACACTAACGCAACTTCCAAAGGAGTTGACCCACAGGTCGGGCGCGCTTGACACCAAGGCAATATCGATGTTGAATGGCAATTTCGAGCCCAGCATCATCACATTCCTGCGCGGCATGCACTCCTAGATGTTTATCGTCCTGAAGCTCGATCCTTGCGCGTCATCAACCATTCCATCATCAAACCATATATTCTCGCAAGGCGGGGGACGCAGGCACAACGTCGATATCACAAAAGCCCAGCCGATTCAGTAATACAAGCAATACGAGTGGAAAGTAGGAGAAAAAAGCCAGAATGGCGCGGACGTGGGCTATCAGCCGAAACTGGGGCGTACCTGCGTAGTGATCCGGCAGCGAACAGGGTAGCAGACAATGAAACGCCGCGATCGTTCCCACTACCGAACTGCGCGGCAACACGGCGCTCCGGCCATTCTTTGAAGGCAGCGTCCAGGCATATCTTGACACGTGGGGATCTCACGTGGATAGTAATTTTGGGGCCCTAACTAAGCCACTGCCCAACCGGCAGCTCAGGTAGTGCTCTAACGGCTGAGATATTCCCCTCACAACTAGACCCCGCGATCGTATTCGCATGGATTCATGACAGTTTCGCGCCAGGATCCACGCTTTGAGCCATGAATCCATGTGAAATACGATCGCGGGGTCCAGTTTCGAGGGAATATCTCAGCCGTTAGAGCACTACCTGCCGCTTGGGCAGTGCCTTAATTAGGGCCCCAAAAACACTTTCCACTTGTTGTCGGGCCTTCCCATGGGGCTGATTCGGGTTATGAGGTTTAAACCAGAAAACTTCAAAATTGCCCCTTTGTGATGCCCTAATTTGGCAGACGTGGACGAGTGCCCCGGCGCTAGTTACGCCGTATGCTACAGAAAACCTCGTCGTGTGCAACGGTGCCACATCACATGCTTCTCGACGTTGCATGTCATGTCAGAAAACTCCCGGGGCAATCGGTTGAGCGCAAAAAGGGGGGGGGGAGCGCAAAAAGGATCCGGTCCGTTATCTACTTTTGTAGGCAACATTAGGGGAGCGGACCAACGCGGTTGGTCTACTTCTAAGGTCTGCTAAGTAGGATGAGTAGTAAGCTAGGCTGAGTGGTTTGGGTGGGCGCTTACTTCAGGCGAGCCGAGACAGTAATGAAGATTACTGGGTTCAGAAAAACTGAAGGTGATTTCGCAGAAAAGTGCAATGCAAATATTTGATCGTTGCCATTAGAGACTATTTTCACAAATGGATAATAGCAATTTTGCTAACTTTACAGAGTATAACTCTTCTGCCTTGTTTTCTGGGGTTAACTACAAGATCTTTTAGGCGTAGTATTGTTGATTTTGTTTTGCAGAATAGCCATTCTAGCCCATGGGCAGCTGCAGTGCTGTGGTTCTGGAATGTACCTGAAGGCGCAATACGGTAAGTCTTGAGCACCCTATAAAAACTGCATTTCCAGCCCTTTTGTAATCATCACCCACAGCAAAGAAACCTAGTATTTTCTGATAGCTTCATTCCTTTACAATATTTAGGTGACGGTTATCATCTAACAGTGGTCTACGAGAACCTCTCGGCTCTTCCTGAAAAGCAAGTGAACCAAACGATGTACTTGCTACAACAGCATGTGAGCGATGTTCGACTTCAATCTTTTGTTGGTCAAGAAGCTCATTTCCTTATCTCTGCCAAATGCAGATCACAGTAAGCACTGGGGTCATGAGATTATTTGAGACATTCAGCAGCTTAATTGTTCAGATTTTCGAAAATGTTCGCGAATTTGGAGGCAGAACAAGCGTATCTTGGCATTTCGTCATTTGGAATGTCTGTAACAACAATGGAGGAAGTGTTTTTGAAGTGAGTCAGTCAATGAATTAGTAATGTCGATATGAAAAGTTACGCGATGAGGGAGGCAAACGAATCTTTGATAGAGAGGGGGGAGGCAGAATATGTTCATATGAATAACGAGGGGGGGGAAGAGGGGAAGAGAAGTTGTTTGTATGGAATGTGAATTTCTTTGAAAGATTGAGCAAGGCGATAAGGGAAAGTGAGTAGGCTAAAAGTGTAAATTTGTGCATTCTTCGTGGTTTGTAGCAGGAAGCGCTTCCAAAATTTGCTGGCATCTCCTGTAAAGGCAATGTAAACAAATTTAATCATCTTTTCGTATTTGGAAATTGTTTCAAAGGCTCTGATTATGCCATCCAAGCGGCTACCGCAAGAAGGCATGGTTACATAAATTCAACTCTAATATCCCGCCCTGACCGTACACTCTACAGTAATCGAGGATGCTGATTGGTCCGCTTGAAAAGAGTACAGTCCAGGCGGAAGTCTCTCTTGAGTTTTCCGCCATATCCACAGAAATTTATTTTTGCTGTATGTCATCATAAACATAATCATAATTATTTACCTCATATATTTTCACTCATGTAATCTAATTTATAAAGAAACGTAAGCGCAATTCAAAAATCTGCAAACAGCGGGAAACCGCGTTGCGGTCCCAAAACGAACGCTCTTCCAAATAGCACCTTTAGATTACTGGTTCACTAATTTAGCAAAAATAATGTTTTTTGACAGGGTCGGCAACTTAGCCCAAGAACGTTTCAATCAAGAAAATGCAGACGACGCAACAGAAGTCAAGGAGATTGATGAGAACGACCCAGTGCTCAAGAGTATGTAATTGTTTCGAAATCAGTTTCTACCGTATCCCCAAATCTACCGTAGTCAAAGTACCCATGTTATTAAAAGAGTCCTCAATTACTCCTCAATCATATAAGAGTAACTGCTCTTTTTTTATAGAACTGAAGGTCGAAGAACATCTTGAGGGTCTACCGTACTACTGGCAGCATTTCGAAGCGATGTTCATCAAGAGGATCATATACTTCTATCGGAAATGGATAATGTTCATTATGAACCTCGCCTTTCCGGTAAGAAATCTAATCAATGAGTCATTTATTCTTGCATCTTATCGATTCCAGATACTGTATATGGTTTTGATGGTATGGACCATAACCCTAGTCCCTGGGCCAACAGAACAACCAAGTCTTAAAATCGATATGACACCATTTGGCGGCAAAAGCGGCGATACGTTTATATTCATATCAAATTCTACGGATGAATATTTTACTGATGATCTAGATCTGAAAAAGTTTGTTTGGCTATAATTATTTGCAAATTTTTCGTTTTTTCTATATTTTCATTACAAGGCAGCTCAGAGGACGAAAGAAGGGGGGGGGGGGGGTTGTAGATTCTAGAAGTGCCTTATATCTTATATATAAAGCAGAATGTCTGTTTGTCTGTTTGTCTGTCTGTCTGTCTGTCTGTCTGTCTGTCTGTGTGTACGTATGTTCCGAATAGAAAATTCCATTTCTGAACCGATCCGGACCAAACTTGGCACACATACACTACGGGCCCCGGCGGGTGTCATAGGCTACTTTTTGTCATCGATCGATATCGATTTTATCGATTTTTATCGATTTTTTTGCTGTGTTTACCTACGGGGCTGGGAGTTGGCACAGGGGGGTAATCGTGCATGGGGATTCCGAATACAATATTGGTTTTCAGAATTATCGATTACTTTTATCGATTTTATCGATTTTTTTGCAAAGTTTGAGCTACGGGGCTGGGAGTTGGCACAGGGGGGTAATCGAGCATGCTGATCATCCCCAAGGGGGGTGATCAGCATGCTCGATTACACCCCTGTGCCAAATTCCAGCCCCCTAGCTCAAATTTTCAAAAAATCGATAAAATCGATAAAAGTAATGGACGATCTTGAAAACTAATATTGTATTCGTAATCTGCATGCTCGATTACCCCCTGTGCAAACTCCCAGCCCCGCAGGTCAAACTTTACAAAAAATCGATAAAATCGATAAAAGTAATCGATAATTCTGAAAACTAATATTGTATTCGAAATCCCCATGCTCACTTCCCCCCTGTGCTAACTCCTAGCCCTGTAGGTGAACTCTGCAAAAAAATCGATAAAAATCGGTAAAATCGACATCGATCGATAACGAAAAGTGGACTGTGACACCCGCCGGGGCCCGAAGTGTATGTGTGCCAAGTTTGGTCCGGATACGGCGGAGCCGGGTAAGCCAGCTAGTGAATCATAAAATTGCGCAAATCACTTGTTACCTGTATATGAATGAAATGATTTCTCAGATTTCTTTCCTCAAAAAGTGATGCTGTCCCTCCCCGTCCCCTCCCCCCCCCCCCCGTCCTTAGGACAAATTTCTTCTGCCACTGCAAATGGCAAAGTTGACTGCTTTTTCTGTTGCTCAAGACAAAAGTCTTAGGCTTTCGAGAATATTAGAAACTGAATCTAGGAAACAAAAAGATAACCCTGGGTCAGCGTCAGCCGGCCTGTTTTGGTTGATAATAGGATGATATGATATTTTTGAGAAATATGAAATTTGTGAACCAGCTGATCCAGAATGATTCCTCTTGTTCTGCTATATGCTCATATGCTAAGACCTAATAATTCTTTGAATTACAGTCTAATATAAAACCTTCTAGGCTTCTTCGACAGACAATTGCAAGGTTTGGAGCTCCTTCAAATATTTTCGTGGACACTATGGAAGATATTGCTAACTACGTCCTCGGTCTTATTCCACAGGTAACCTCTGATTCAACTGGCTTGGCGGCTGGAAGGCGTGGCTTTGTGACCTAATTAAGGCCGCTCGTGCCCGCTACGCAGTCTGCGTCTTTCTCGCATGCGTTGATCATCATCTAGTCTTAAGTACACGAAGCCTGCCTTCCAGCCGCCAAGCCAGTCGAATCAAGGGGTAAATCTCCCTACATTGAATACAAGAGTGATTTTTGTTAAAACATTGAACCGCTTCTTCCTTAAGCAAAGAAAAATTATATGAAATTAGCAAATGTCCAAAACACACTTTGAAAATCATTCATTCTGTTTTCTCCCAGCCAAATTTGGCCATCAATTTTGATTCTAAACAGAGCGTTTTTGGTCATTATTATTGAATTCTCTGCTTATGTGTCAGATTCTTGGAGCCATGAGCTACACAAATATCAAGAAATTTCGAATAACCAAGTAATTAGGAAATTGGAAAAATCGACTGAATGAGTTTGAAAACTGTAACCATGATTTTGAAAGCAGTAAAGGCTGGGCAATTTTCTGTAAATATGAAAGCTCCAACAAAATTTGTGAAATTTCGCGTCTTAATGGGCGGTTTGAGACCAATATGTCCTACGTATCGTTATGTTCTTATATTTTAATTTACAGATTGGCTCCAAAAACTTTGGTATTCACTACCCGTTGGCTTTCGAGCGTCTCTATCTTCCTCTCAATCTGACTGCAACAAGTCTCAGAGGTGGGAAATAATTTACGATAATTCAGCACCTTTTACAGCACTCTACAATCTCAAAATCTTTCTTTTCATAAAATAGATAAATTTTATTTCGTAAATAATTTTTTCTGTACATTTTCCCGCTTTGATTCAGTGTCTTTTAAAGTCGATTATTGTTGCGGCTTGGTGCGCTCAGTACCCCCTCGCCTCGCTCGACTGCCTGCACAACCCTGTACCTACTGCCTACATCTTAGCGCCGGTTAGCTACTCCGGCGCGTCCGACGCGACGACTCCGATAAGTGGCAATAAACCGTAACAACAAACGTGCGACTAGAATACATTCATTTATCTGAATAACAACAAACTACACTACACAAGAAACTAAGCCATTAGGTTGGCTAATAAATAAGTTCGGTCGTTTTTTAGCTCTTACAAATGCTGTAGACAAATTTTTATCCAATGTTTGATATCTCTGAAAAGAGCACTTCACTGGGTATTGGAGCATGTATTCGGTTTGAGTAAAACTTATCTTCCCAGGGAAAAAATGGCCAAAGAAGTGAAAGTCGCAATTTTCCTACAATGCGCAAATATGAGGAAATTTGGTTTTTTTAGTGAAACATTTTCAAAATGGCAGATCACAGTCCTTTTTGTTGTTCACTAAATAGGACAACTCCTCTGTATCCAAACACTAAACTGCTGTTCTTTACATTCATTACAGCTTGAAAACGAAGCTCAAGAAGTCAAAGAATTGAGCTTTTGGAAATTTCGCCATATTGAGGCATAACTGTCTTCCCTGACGATAGAAAATCCTGATTATTCGATATGTGATAGAGGAAGCTTCAAACTACTTTCCCACAAAAAATCATAAATTGAAAACAACAAGAAAATTTTTTATGACAATTTGTATGCCAAAACGAACTTACTTTTTAGCCAACCTAATAGAAAATACCTAAAGAGCTAAAAAGAAATAATACACGGGAGGAGTACGCCTCGTTCCAAGCCGCCTATCATCACAACCTAATTCCAACACATGATCTCAGGGGACTCCACCACAAGGGTCGACCGCCTACCTACTCTCGCCTCTGCGTAGGAAAGGTACGAGCCCTCTCCGCTCCCGGTATCAACCTTTACACAACTAAACCTCCCTCGCGCGTTAGTGTGGTACAGTTCAAAAGCTCTAGCATTCATTAGCTCAACCGCTAAAAAAGAGTTCATCCGCGGGAACTTGCTGGGGGAGCTGCCAAGGGCAATCAATGAAGATACGCGGGAGATAACAGGTAATTTGAAAACGAGCTCACCGGAAATCAAAGAGGCGTAGCATATGGCGCGCGTTGCGCGGCCTTATATACCCCTCGACTTGGCAAGGCGCCCAGCGAGGAGAGGTCCGGGCGCGAATGTAATAGTGCGCCCGATTCAGCGACAAGCAGTCCTCTCGGCACCTAAATCGAGGAGAGGCTTGCATCTGCAACGTGTCCTCAATACATATTTATACATATACATACATATTAGCCGTTTGAATTTTTATTTTTAGCTTGGTTCAACAATTTCGGATTTACAACTCCACCCCTTGCAATCAGTGTGGCTGATTCGTTGGTAATCTCACAAGCGTTGAACAAGAATATCACGCTGACGGTAAGTTTTGAAAATTTGCAAATTTCTCTATTATTGAAAGTGCGTAAAGAAAATTCTTCATTTGTCTCTTCTGATAAATTCATTAAAGGCTTGGGAAAATCGCGAGTAGGGGATCACCACAACTACATGACCTTCTGGACCAGCTGAGTCAGGTACTGTGCTTGAAAAGTCAAAAAAGGGCTTTTTTGCGTTTTCCGACTTTGGAAATGGCTGGAGAGGCGGGGCGAGGGATTCCCGTCATTTGTATGCTGGACTGATCAGCCAATCGCCGCCAAGTTACAGAAACCTGCGACCACTCGCTGATTATGGCAGGAATCCCTCGCTCCTTCAGCATTCTACAAGGCCGGTAAACTCTAAAAAACACTTTTCTGACATTTCAAGCACACCTGACTCAGGTGGTGTAGTTGTGAGAAGTCCCGTCGCGATTTTCCCGAAGCACTGCCTTTGAAGAGAACCACAAGGAACACAAGTAATCCCCAGGTTAAATTTGAAAATACTTTTGAAATACTTTCAAACATCACACATAACCCATTTGGTCATGTTTCTTGTTCAAGACAATGATGTTTTTTCCAGTTTTTGCAATTTATGAAGAATGGAAAAATGCGCGACACATTTCAAAAATAAAACCGAGAAATTGATCTGCGGACTCTTTTATTATAAATCTATTAAGGAGATAACTACAATTGTTTTGAAAATTCCTTTAAACAAAAAATAAAAAATGCGAGGATCAAATGTCAAAGTTTGGCGAGCATCAAAATTACAGACTTAAACAAAAAAGAAAAATCTCATCAAGAAATTGTGCTCACAAGTTATACTTGGCCCAATTCTCTTATTAATTTCCTGGCCAAAATTCATAGTTTTCATGAGCGCAATTGCTTAAGGTCAATAACCATCCGTTCCCTCCAGTTACTCAAGATGTCTTGAAGAATCGCAACTATTCGAATAGTTCTGCTTTCATCCTATCCTATGCTATCATCGTGTGTATGGCCGTAGTGGTCGCCACGTGCTGCCAGTTCCTTATAAGGGAAAGAAAGAAGAAGAGCAAACATATGCAGGTGAGAATTTTTGAGAAAAAAATTTCCCTTTGCAACCCAGCGACTTTCTAGATGCTATCAGGGCTAAGACCGTGGATGTACTGGATAACAGCGTTTTTATGGGATGTTATTTGGTATATTGTTCGTATGGCAGCTTTCATTGGCACTTTCTATGCTTTTCACATCGAGGTTGGATTTTCGAATGGGATTTGGGAAATCTTAGTAATCCTCCCGATTTAGGCCTACACGAAAAGCTTTGATACGGTACTCGTATTGTTGTTGGCAATGTCTTTATATGGATGGACGGCTATTCCTTTTACTTACTGGTTTTCCTTTGCGTTCACATCGGCCCCTAAGGGTTTTACAATGATCGTCATGTATAACATCATTACTGGTTAGTTATAAAAGTGCACCTTTACCATTTTCTAGAAGATAGGTCGAAAAAGAACGTGTGCACAGCTCTTCCCCCTTCTCTCTCCCTTTTCCCCTCCTTAGTCGTCCGGGCTTAAAAGCGGGCCTATCTTTCTCAAAAAAAAAGTTTGAGTTAGCTTCTTCTCCCCCCATCTTGATCTTTTCAACAAGAATGTTATGGTTTTTTTGGATTTTTCGAAATGGTTTAAAGAATCCTGAAAAGCTTGACTGACCGTTTCGTATAAGTAGTTGCTGAGCACCTGCCCCTTAGCCCCGCCCCCCCTCCTCCCCCATGTTGAAGAGGTTGACCGAGGGAAAGGCGGAGTGGGGTGCAGGGTTAAATTAGTATAAGTGAGGTAGAAAGTTGCGCAAGTTTCTTATTTACCTGTAGTAGTTATACTATAATAGAAAAAATTGTATCTCTCCGCTTACAATTCCCCCTCCCCCCAAAAAAAAAAGATTCTTGGACCGCTATTCCTATAGTGGAAGAAACAAGTTTTGTGACTGTGTAAGATAGGAGAACTTGCGAAATAGATTCCAAACTTATTATGTAGAAAAGGCTTGGTAACCTTTGATTCAACTGGCTTGGCGGCTGGAAGGCGGGGCTTTGTGACCTAATAAAGGCGGTTACCGCCCGTTACGCTGTCTGCGTCTCTCTCGCGGCGTGCTCTCTGGCCATTATCTAGCCTAAAATTAGGTCACGAAGCCCCTTCTTCCAGCCACCAAGCCAGTTCAAAGGGTGCGCTATGTAGAAAGTCAGAGAAATGTTTGTTATTCAAAATGGTTTTATATTATTCATCAAAAATGTTTGAGCTAAGAAAGCGAATGCAAATTATTTTGTATAGCAGTGGGCGTAATTTATTATGAAAAAACTTGCTCCAGGTATGATCGGATCCATCGCCATACCAATCATTCAACAAGTAGAAAGTGAAGATGCTGCGTACACTGCGAGTATCATACTATCATTTGCGTTCCCCACTTACAGTATCTCCAACGTTTTCACCGTTGTGAGTCATTTTTCACTTTCGGCATCAAAAATATGGCGTCATGATAGTTTTATATATCTTTTGAGGTCTACAATAATGAGTTTGGTAGACAAGCTTGTGCAATGCTTGATTGCTCTATTCCGCTCTACAATGCCAGCAAGATATGCTGTGGCCAACCTGAAGGTGAGTTATTCTAATGTCACTTACCCTATTTTTAGGTGTATAAGCCGCACCCTCTTCACTCTAAGGGCGCACACGTCAAAAGACTGCTTGTTACGATGGGGCGCGTTAAGTGAGAGCATGTGCGAGAAAGCGACCGCTTCGCGAGGCACATGCGCAGCGGCACGCCTGGGTCTGCTCGCTTTTAGAACAAAAAGATGCGGCTTATACACCTGAAAATAGGGTACATGGCCAATCAGTGACATGACAGACGAAGGGGGTGAGGAATCGTGTAATCTTCGAGGTCCAGATGGCTTACAAGATTGTGGAATCGAGCTGTTTTTACTCGTGAATTGAAATATATTAATAAGATTCTTAAAAATTCGAGTTAGTCGCCAAGCAATTTTTTTAGGCGTGCGTGCCCTTACGCCACCTTTTTCACTGTTTTATCTTACAGGCCTGCATGAAAAGAAAAACTTGAAAAGCGCGCAAAAAATCTTCTTTTGAAGAAAACTGCTCCATCACAAAAATTCTTGCGCCAATCGATCTTTTCGAATCAAAGATTTTCAGACAGGATCTACACCGATCATATTCTCACGGACACGGGAAAGTTAGGCATCTTTTACCCTATAATCTTCTTTGCGATAGAGGTGAAATATTGCTACGTCTTCAAAATGAGCATTCTTACGAATCGAATTTAGGGTTTTATTTACTGGTTCCTCGTTATTTCTCACGAACACAATTTCATTACCCGTTTTATAACGTTCTGTAGATGGAACAAGAAAAATCGAATAGGAGATTCACAGGTGACAAAAAAGTTTACAATACTGGTGAAAAAAGAAATATTTTTATTTGCAGTACGAAAACTGGAGCACAGAACCTGAAATTTTGTATACGGGTGAAGACAGTGATGTTTTGGCTGAGAAAGCTCGAGTTAAAGCAATGCAAAAGGATGGAGCTGCTGTCATTGTTGATGACATCAAGAAATGGTAAGTGACTACTAGAAATTCTCAGCTAATTGGGTGAAATAAACATTTTATTAAGGTATGGTGACTTTAACGCCGTGAAAGGTGTCACGTTCCATGTGAAACAAGGCGAATGCTTTGGCCTGTTGGGAGTAAATGGAGCTGGAAAAACATCGACGTTCCAAATGTTGACCGGAGAAAATGACATCAGCGATGGAGATGCTTTCGTCAATGGTTGGAGTGTGAAAACTCATTGGAGGGAGGTGAGTGCATCACAAATTAATTTTAAGAAAAAAATTGTGTTTCTGAATGACCTTGTGTACAAAATTGAATGCCCTATGCCCTGTGGTCTTCTGTCTGTCTGTCTGTCGGTCTGTCTATCTGTCAGTTTATCGATGTGCTATCTCCATATATGTTTGTTTGTCTGCTTGCCTCTTCTGCATCTCGCTGTCTGTCTGTCTAGTGTCTGTCTGTCTCTGTCTTTCTGTTCGTCTTTCTGTCTCTCTCTGTCTATTCTCTGTCTGCCTCTCTGTCTGTCTCTCTGCTGTCTCTGTCTATTGTCTGTCTGTCTCTGTCTTTCTGTTCGTCTATCTTTGTCTATTTGTTTCTGTCTGTCTCTTTCTGTCTTTTCGCCTGCGCCTATCTGTGAGTTTGTTTGTGTCTCTGTCTGTCTGTCTGTCTGTCTGTGTGTCTGTCTGTGTGTCTGTCTCTCTGTCTGTCTGTCTGTCTGTCTGTCTGTCTGTCTATCTGTCCATCTCTTGCATATGATAGTTGCTGATTAGGCCAAAGATTTGCCACTTTAGGCAGGCGCTAACATCGGATATTGTCCCCAGTTTGACGCTATTCTCAAAGAAATGACCGGCGAAGAGACGCTTTACATGTTTGCGAGAATCCGTGGAATTCCAAGGAAGTTGATACCTGAAAAGGTGGATCATAAAGTCAGTGCAGAAATGGTAGATATACGGTATTCTTATAGGTCGATGCTGTTATTCACACTATCGGCATTGGAATGTATGCAAAGAGACAGATCAAGGGCTACAGGTGTGCAGGCCTCTTTTTACTTTATGTTTTGATTTTTGCGCTTTGAAAATTTGAAGGACTAATATCTAAAATTTTATCTAAAGCTTGCTATCAATCATGTCGGTGATCATTTTAGCGGTGGCAACAAACGTCGTCTTTCACTCGGAATAGCGCTGATAGGGTTACCGCCAGTACTTCTCTTAGATGAACCCACTACGGGAGTGGATCCAAAAGCGCGCAGAATTATCTGGAACATCTTCGCAAGGGTAGGGACCAAAATAATTATGCCGAAGTAGTGCCAGTTCGTGGATTTTTTCAGGTACAAGCATTGGGAACCTCCCTGGTGTTAACGTCGCATAGTATGGATGAGTGTGAAGCATTGTGCACTGAGTTAGCTATCATGGTCAATGGTAAGCAGTCACCTGAACGATTTACCATCTGTAAGAATCTTCAGAAGAAAAACATTACTCAATTTCTTTCTTTCAAAAACTCGCAAGAAGTAAATTCTTCTATGCGTCTTTCATCTGTCCGTCAGTATTCTGAAGAATACAAATACGCCGATGTCTCAAATTCTCGAAACGATTGAGTCATCGGAAAAACAATCAATTTTGCTCAACTGTGCTGTGCCTTGGTTTGTTATAAACTATGACCGGGAAGAAAGTGAAACATGGCAATTATTCCACTTGACGAAAAATTGGTGTAGTTTTCTCGATATTTACATGTCACTCACATGAATTCATTTTTTCAATCTTTAAAAATTATCCGAATTTTTATTAAATTATTATTTCTCTTGCAAGTTAAGCCTCCATAATGAAGAGGAGCAATTCCCAAGCTGTTTCCGTTCAATGCTCCCGGAAATCAATAAAAAATTTAACAGCATAAAAAAGAAATATGGAGTAGTTTTTGAAAGACAAAGAAAAAGTGAAAATAGAAGTGCTGCCATCTAACTGTCATTGTTGTTTTTAAGGCGGAAATTATACCGACGGATGGCCTTCCCCCTTCCTCTTGTAGCCAAACATAAACTTTGATTATTTTTCGGAGACGAATAGAGTACAACAGAACTTACTAAGGCCTAATATAACTTTTTCTGACCTGCTAAATGTGCGACTTCTCCTCATTACGTTGTTTTTTGATTTTATTTTTATACTTCACTGATTCTAGGAAGGTTCAAGTGTTACGGTAGCTGTCAGCACATCAAGAGCAGATATGGTGCCGGCTTCACTCTGCTAATTCGTCTTCATCGAGCTGAAGAAGCGGAAAGCACAAAAGCCGAAGTCATGAAAACATTTCCAGGCGCCATTCTTAAGGTGAAGAACCTTAACTTTCGAGGTTCCATTAGTTAAAAAAAATAGTTCTTGCAGGAACATCATCTCCTGCAACTAAACTACGAGCTGCCAAAACGACCTGGCATAACTTGGTCGATGCTTTTTGATGACCTTGAAGATTTATCTCGAAGACATGATTTTGAAGATTATTCACTTAGCCAAACAACCCTGGAACAGGTACTATCAGCAGTACTATAGTACTACAGTACAGTCAGTTTTCCTGAAACCTAGAAACTCTTATTCTAGGTATTCCTCGAATTTTCTCGAGATGCTGCCATGACCAAAAATGTTGGATATTCGGAAATTCCGCAGCAGAATGGTTTTGTAAATCACCAGATGAGCAATGGAACACCTGCACAAGAGCAGCAAAGCAATAATAGACTTGCTGATGAGTACTTTGGTTCGTACTAACATTAGATCGTTCCAGAAGTAATTTCGCTTTTTTAAAGGGGCACCACATTTGATGGAACAAAGATTTTTAAGAGGTCTTGGCAGCATTCGATGAAGAAATTCATCATCTTTAAAACAGTAATGAAATCGTTGCGGCGCAGTCAGTGAGCTCTCTGAAAATCCCCAGATTCTGCGACCGATGCTTTTTGCTATGGTCAACTTTAGCTATTTTCCAAAATCTCCGTATCAATCCTCTAAAGGAGCCTAAGTAGCGAGTGGATAGAGCAAACCCTAGAGGATACAAAACAATTTTTCTCACCCTTCCATACTTCGTCATATTTTTAATAGGATTTTAATTGATGCTACTTATTTCCATTCTTGGTCAACTCAAACCACGTAGAACATCAAACGGTGAGCAGCTCGGGCGTTATTCGATGCAGATTGTTCTCATCTTTCTGATGGGCATTTTTTGTTTCCGATTAGTTCAGTCTTCGGGGATGAAATCGTCATGAATCATGTTTTGAACGCGCCCAAGGCTGTGGCCGAATAACTCGAAATTTGATATTTTGAATCTGTAAACTCTCATTTGCTTTGTGAAACCAAAATAAGTCATATACCATTTTGGAAGTTTCAAATTTCGAGTAATTATTGGTGTTTGATGCGATTGTGATTGACCTAGACCTGCCAAAATCCGTTTTGGTAAAAAAAAATCTTTCGAAAACTCACGGCCAGCTATGAAAAAGAAGAAAAATTGTACTGTATCCTACGAGGTTTGCTGTATCCAATCGTTATTTGAACTCCTTCTGAGGGTTGATATGAAAGTTATAAAAATTGTGAAACTTCACCATCACAAAAAGCATGGGCCGCAGATTTTGGCTATTTGCCGTAAGCTCATTGACTGCGCTGCAACGAATTTATTACTATTAGAAAGAGGATGAATTTCTGCATTGAATGCTGCCAAGATCTCTCAAAAATCTTTGTTTCATTAAATGTGGTGCTCCTTAAAAAAGCGAAATTACTTTTGGAACAACCTTATATATGGAGTGAAGATATTTAGCTATCTCTATTTATTTTTTCTTTTGATGCTGTCGGGTATATCTCGAGCTCAGTTGATGTATTTTTACTTATTTTTAGTATTTGAGGAATATATATATTGTCCATTCGAAATCGGGTTCAATTGTTTACATGCTGTGATATTGTATACACATGTGCAATAATAAATGTTCTCTTATTGCAATGTGGTCAGCGAATTTTTTCGTGTATGAAACCAAAGAAATTTGGGTCTTGTAAACCAAACCTAATCCTTGGGTTCTTTGTAACCCTTGATTCAATTGGCTTAGCGGCTGGAAGGCGGGGCTTTGTGACCTACTTAGGACCGCTCGCGCCCACGACGCAGTCTGTGACTCCTCCGCGCGCGCCCTCTGATCATTACCTAGCCGTAATTAGGTCACGAAGCCCCCCTTCCAGGCGCCAACCCAGTTGAATCGAAGGGTACGGATTCTAATTTATTGGGTTGCTGCGGAAGTTCTATCCGTATTTCATGCCCTTGTTTGAACTGCTGATTTTATAGGAAGAATCTAATTTCAGGAAAATTTCACTTTCTTTCAAAGTCCTTTCCTTCTAGTTTTTTACTTACTTAAATACTTAGATGGCCCGTCTTCACGTGGCGTGCGGGCCCCAGCGCAAAAGTCGCCATTTGTCCCTCCTCGCTTCAGACATCCACGATTTTCTTGGTTGCCGTCGGCGGCTGCGTCCACGAGTTCCATGTGCGATAGTCTACCCAACTGATTTCTCAGCTGTCCATCCGTTCCACGAAAACATGTCTGCCCATCTCGTTGGTGGTCATCCTCAGGGACCTTTGGCTTCGCGAGGAATTTACTCAGAAGTTCTTAGTGTCCATCTGTCGTCTGTTCTCTCATGATGTGACCGGCCCATCGATGTTTCGCCTTCGCAACGTATTCCGCGGGTCACGAACACGGGACATTCTTTTCATATCCGTACTGCGAAATCCGACTAGGTCTTGCGCGCTCTCTGTGGGTGGTCCTTAAGGCTTTCGACGTGGCTACTGTGTCAGCCCAAGTCTCAGCTGCGTAACAGAGCGTCGGGAGAACGGTTGAGTCGAACTGGCGGCCACAAAGCTCCGGGTCCGTCAGTTAGTCGGTGGCTTTCTTCAGAGGCCCAAAGGCGGCCCAGGCTACTCTTCTTTCCCTGTTGAGTTCTTCCCTCAAGTCGTTCTCCATGTTCATCGAACGTCCGAGATACACGTAAGAAGACGTCCCCATAATAGGGAAGCCTTCCAGTTCCATTTCTGCATCCTCGCAAAGAGCATTTTTTATGAACTGAGTCTTCTTCTGATTTATTCGCAATCCGATCTTCTTCCCTACTTCGTTTAGTTCCTTCAGCATCGTCTCTGCTTCAGTGATACTGCTCGAGAAGAGAACGATGTCGTCCGCAAAACGAAGTTTGGACAGGAATCTCCCATCAACTTGTATGCCTCCCTCGCCCCAGTCCAGTGACTTCATTACTCACTGCAGACCGCGGTGAACAGCTTTGGCGAAGTAGTATCACCTTGTCGAACCCCATTTCCGACTGGAATGGTCAGAGTGCGACGGAATAGCTGCATCGAACCCAGTGTCACCCCAGTGGAACCCAGTGTCACCCCCACGCCACGATGAGACGACCACCTTGTGCACCATTCAGTTTTTTACGTCTACTTTCTTTACACAACTGCATTTACTCTGTAATTACGTACCCGGAAAGACGGAAAAGCAAATGTGGAAATTTTCGTTCCTTTCCTACGTCGTGAAATTAACGGGAAAAAGGAAAGTGTATGAAAGTATTTGCCATGTCTGTTGGTGTCTTAAAAGTTTGAATTATAATTTTCTAGCACAAGCATGACCTGTCACTGTGGTCCCAAGAAGTCACATAAAAGAGTTAAGCGCATTGTAGTTACGGTACTTACACTCTATGTGATGAACTTAGGCCTAGAACATCCTATAATAGAAAAATGCGAGAAATTTCTCAAATGCCAACGGCGAAAAAATTGAAAGACCAAAAAAGGCGTTTCGTACCACCCAAAGTGCGAAATAACTGGGTACTTTCGAATTTTTTGCAGGAATTCAATAAAAGTTTGGTAGAAATCAAGGTTGGCAGTTCTGTTCAGCCAACTAATGGCTACATAACGAGCATTTATTCAACTCGTAACTACCATTTTCAAAGAGTTATGTTAAGTCGAAGTCGAACTTCGGAAACGGATAGAACTTTTAAAATAATCCAATATTTAGAGGTGGAGCCGTAAATTCACACCATTGGATGCCTCGGTCATCAAAAATACCACTCATTCAAGTATGAAAATTACTTACACAAGCTTATGTTTTATTTTTTAAGCATATTTTATTACATTCTATAATTATGAAGGTATTCAGGGTGACAATCTACTATGCTACATTTTTGCAAATTGTTTGAACGCAACTTTTATTTCTGAACGAACCTCATAAGCTTTCACATTGTTTTTGACGAATTCGAAATTTTGTAGTTAACCTCACCTTAGACCAAGTTTACCAGCCTAACACATGGTGTGCAATATAAAAAATTATTGTTATAGATTTATGTCAAAACTTGGTTTTTCTGCAACATTGCTAGGCTGGTTAAGAAAAAGACTTTGTAGGAGATTGCATTTTCGCTTCTTTCATTTTATCCCTGTGTATTTCGAAAAAAGACAAATTTCTCTTAAAGGCAGCGTCCCGTCAAAATGAGGGTGACGGCCTTTGCAGCGGTGTTATAGTAGACCCCCACGTGAGCAATGGTTGAAGTCCGGGGCGAAAAAGGGGTCCACTAAGCCTGAAATCTGCCTCGAAAGTGGCCCGGACGTCGCCCACATATTAGACGAGCTCAAAGGAGAGTCAAAAAATTCCTTAGAAGAACCATCAGGAAAAGGTGCACTACTTGCATGTTGAGTAGGACTAGGGGACTTTGAGGTTCGTCTTAAACATATTGGAGTTTATGTGGGATACGTGAAGCGACCTTGGTCTTCTTTTGGTTGATCCTCGCTTAGTTCCATCACAAGGCTTCGGGGATTGACTGGAACTACTGCTCATGTAAATCTATCATACACAGAAGAAAATCGTTCTTTGGATCCTTTTTTTTTTAAATATGATAAGATAAGTGCAGAAAATTTGCGCTGACAAACGAAATGTGGGAAAGGAGAAACTTTTTCAAAACTATTTGACTATACTTAAGTTTAACTTTGATATTTAGAAAACTATAGTAATCTTGAAAAAAAACGAGAGACAGAAAATGTAAGAAAAAGGTAAGAAAAGGAAGAATTTAGCATTAGAATCGCACCTCTATTCTCTTCGTCTTTTCGCTGAGTACGGTGGATGGACGAGCTTGATTGGTTGCTGGACTACGGTAGTTGGTTGCTGGGTTGAGGACTTCGAAGAGAGAGAGAGAGAGCTTACGACCGAAATGTGTGGGCACCAAGGGTAGAATGGCCTGAGCTCGGCGCCGGTGGGCGGGGCAACAGAAGAGTCACACTGGGTGGGAAGCTAGCCATTACAGTAAGAGTGTAAAATCAATGACCTGATGTATTTAAAAATACATATCAATATTAATACACATTATAATTATAATAGTAACTAGCTGGCTTACCCGGCTCCGCCGTATGTTCCGAATAGAAAATTCCATTTTTTAACCGATCCGGACCAAACTTGGCACACATACCGGGCCCCGGCGGGTGTCACAGTCCACTTTTCGTTATCGATCGATGTCGATTATCGATTTTTTTGCAAAATTTGAGCTAGGGGGCTGAAATTTGGCAGAGGGGTGTAATCGAGCATGCTGATCACCCCCACGGGGGTGATCAGCAATTGGAGGGGAGCTGAAAGTGGCCAGAAGGCAAGTCCAAGCTCTGCATGGAGCAGAGAGTTGCGCGACAACCAGTTTAAGAAATCGGAGTTCCTGCGCGAGGAACATGAGAAGGTATGTTTATTTAGAAAATTGAGTTTGATTCAATTTACGGAAAAGGAGGGGGGAATAAAATGTTTTCTCAATTTAATTTCTTTTGAAAATTTCTCCTTAGTCTACGTAAATTTAGAATCTGACACGGATGGCGAGGGATCTGCGGATGGTGCATGAGGTGCTGCCAATGGCCCTCGAGATGCACCGGGCCAGGACCCGTGCGCTGCACCCGGAGGAGGAAAAAGAAATTGCTCCACCACTTCCTCCAAAAAGGGAACGTGGTGGAAACGTTCCTGAAAGTCACCGCCGCCGTAAAAATCTGTCCGCACGACCACGGATAGGGACGAATTTTTACTCGGTGAGTTTCTCTCTTTTTTCTTTTTTTGTTAAGTAAGACACAAGAAGAATTTTGAAAAGCAATGAAAAAAATTTTTCAGCCCCTATGAGGTCGGGCAAAAGAGGTTTAATATCTTTCCGGACAAACTGTGGCGCGCGGATCACCCATGGCTGCGACTCCATACGGGTAAAGTGCACGTGGTCAATTATGGAAGATGTGCCCCACTCCCGGACAA